AGCAACTCTCACCTGCGCGGTGGAAAATACAACGGAAGGAGCAACACTGGACGCAGGAGCAGCACACCAACGCTCGAGGCCGCGCTAACGTCACGGGGGCATCGTTCGCCGACGGATTTACCCGTTGGAACGGGCCACGGCATCATTGTGCGGCCGATTCGTGGTGGAGGGCATAAAGAGTTGACCTGATATCTTGTAGCATGTGCTGGACAGAGCGTGTGTTTCCTCCTCTGCTTGGTTGGTTGGTTCTGTTTCTCCGCTTTCATTGTTATTGAGTGATAGCTGGGAAGCGACGGGAGTGGGAAGCGACGCCGGCATTATAAACTTGCTGAGGGAGGAAGCGAAGGAGAGAAGAGAAAAGAAATGAAAAGAAAAGAAACAAAAAAGCACGCGAGAGTGTCTGCAAGGCGTGTTTGCGGCGCGCCTGCGTGTCACTGCCCGTGCCTGGATGGTGACGTATGTAAAGTGCCCAGAGTTTCACAGCTGTAGAATATAATATTATATATACATACACATACACATATATATATATATATATTCTCTGGAGTTTTTGTTGTTGTTGTTGTTGTTGTTGTTCCGTCCCCCTTTCGCTCTCCGTTTCGCTGCGTTTATGATGATGATGATGATGATGATGTGTGTGTGTGTGTGTGTGTCTTTTCTTTTTCCAGTGCGTGGGCCACCGCTTTTCGTTTCCGCGTTTGGATTTTTCCCCACGGAGGCACACGCACGCAGTTGCTACTCGCTTGCTTTCTACACCCCTCCTTTTTTTTGTTGCTGCACCAACAGGAAAAAGACAAACAAACAAAAAAAACAAGGATTCGCTTAGTCCCACTCTCTCTCTCTCTCTCTTTCCGTCTGTCTGTGTGTGTGTGTGTGTATTTGTGTGTCTGCGTGCATGTTGTGGCATTCCTTTCACTGCCGCGGGGCATTTTTGATTGATGTTGTACAGCCGCCACCGCTCCAGCGGCGACGGCCACGTGGGTTTGTTTGTTCGCTTCTTCCTGGGGGTATTATTTTATTTTCTTTGGGCCGTCGCTGTTGTGCCTGTTTTTCCCCCGCCGTCGGCGTCGGCCGGATGTAAACCCGCGGACGCAGTACGTGCGCGTCGCTGCGCTGTTGCCAGAGTTACATCCCCCCCCCCCCTTCGTGGTTTGGGACTTCGTGTTGTTGTTTCTTCTTTCGTTTTGTGAGTGGCACTCTGCGGGGCGCTGCCGCCCAGGCGGCGCCCACGCATGGGGCGGGAGTAGCCGCAAGCGTGAGAGGTGGAGGCGCACTTTTGTATACACGCCTTTACCTGCACGCTCTCATGCGTGTGTATATATGCGTATACGCATGTGTGTATGGAATGTGGCCGCGTCTGCGGCGGGGAGTGCGGGCGGAGGCGGTGCACCAGGGGAAGGGGAAGGGGGGAGGGAAGAAAAGGCGGCCGCCGGGCAGTAAACATGGGGCGGGTCGAAAGTGCAGGGAAGTTAAAAAAATAACACAGACAGCGGTAGACACAAGCAGAGACAGACGGAGAGAGGCATACAGACGCGGGCGAGGCGTTGCGCTCACGCGTGATTTTTCTCTCCTCTGCGTATATCCGGGGGTCTATGGCGCTTTGCCTCGGCTCGCCAACTCCTCACTCTCAGCCAATACCCCCCCCCCTTTTTTTTACTTTATTATTATTTTCATTTTTCTTTGTCTCACGTTCTCTCTCACGCATACACGTGCGCTGGGAACTGTCTGAAGCAAACGTCAACAGTAGCTTCCTTTCACACACACACACGTACACATGTATTTGTACATGTGTACGTGTTTATATTTGGCGGTGCTGGGGTGAGAGCCGTGAGGACGACGCCGTGGGACTCGTCCGCTCACCTCCGGTGTATCCGAGGCGATCGTCATACACGATGCAGCGTCTTCAAGCGCATACAAAAATGTATGTGGGGTGGGAGCGGGTGGGGAACGATGCAACGACGCTGTGCCAAGTTGGGGTGAGGCAAAAAAAAAACAAAGCTAAAACGAAATGAGAATTCTCTTCTCTCCCACTCTGCGCACTCTTGGTTTGAAGGAAAGTTTGCTGGCCGAAGGACGGGAGCTATAGACGGGGGGTGGCGCAGCTGCAAGCCCGGTTTCAAGGAGGGATCTCGTGGTCGATGCAGTTTCGCGACTACCGCGTGCACCACGCCGCACCCGATGGCATTGTGGTGCAGCTTCCAGGCAACGGCGGGTTTGGCAGGCTGACGGTTGAGACATTAGGCGGCGACCTACTTGCGGAGAAGCTCCTCAAACGCCTTGCCTCGCGCGAACAGGTGCGGGCCGTGGCGCGACGCACGCGTGACGCGCAGCAGTACCGTCTTCTTAGCATACAACTGCGCGAGCTCTGGAGCGATGTTGCGACGTACCCGCCGCCCGTGGCCACGCTGCTCCCAAATTTGTTTCGCAAAAATGTGCTCCTGGGGCTAGGCACCACCACAATGGCGCGTGTCGTGAAGGCTTCCCCGCAGCGCGGGGCGGTGCTGTCCGTCGCCGGCGGCCTCACCGCCTTGGCCGCGCTGGAGCACGTCCCTGAGGATGCCGGGACGGTGGAGGTGCGGCTGCTCAACTACGACGTTCCGACCGGCGTCGCCAGTGTCACGGCGCGGGCGGAGGTGGTTGAGCGCACCCCTAGCGACGTGGTCGCCATGCAGGCACTCCTCTCGGGCCTACAGGTGGGCGACGTGGTGTCGGCCACGGTGCTGCTTTCCTGCACAGATGACCGCTGCGCCGTGGTTGAGGTTGCGTGCGGCGAGAGCAGCCTGATTGGGTACTACGTTTACGATTGGCCTGGCACCGCCGCCCCCGGCGAGCCCCCCGTTGTGGGAACGTCGATGCAGCTCGTGATTGAGTTTGTGCCGCATGAAGCGTTGCTGCAGGAGGTTCTCCCCTTCCTTGTGCTTTCCAGCCATCGCGCCGTCTTTACGTTGCCGCAGTGGCGCAGGGCACCGTTGCCGGCAGGCGTGAAGGGGCTCCTCGGCCTCTTCCCCTGGCGCGACCGCAAGAGGCAGCACGCAGTTGGGAAGCGGCAGCACCAGCAGCGACACCCCGAAACCGAGAGCGACGACGACGACGACGACGACGAAGCTGCTTGCGCTGCCGCCAAGCACGCGGGAGGGGAACACAAAATGCGCAAGCGAAAACTTGAGGAGGCCATTGACGCCTATGAGCGTTCGATGGAGACGGCTGTGCCATCCTCGCCGGAGGAGTTCCAGCGCCTACTGCTGGCTGCGCCCAACAACAGCTACTTGTGGGTTCAGTGGATGGCGCACCACGTTGCACTTCAGCAGCAGGAGGAGGCACGGCTGGTGGCGGAAAAGGCGCTGAGCACCATCGGCGTTCGCGAGACCCAGGAGCGCATGAACGTCTGGGTGGCCTACATGAATCTCGAGAACCTGCATGGTACGGCGGAGTCTCTCTCGGCGGTGTTTAAGCGGGCGCTGCAGCACGCGCCTGATCAACGTGTCGTGTACGAGCGTCTTGCCGACATTTTCGCCGCCACACGCAAGCCAAATCAGCTGCTCGCCTTGTGTCGCACCATGGTCTCGAAGTTTCGCAATGAGCCACGCACGTGGGAGCGACTTGGGGTGGTGCTCATAGACCAGAAAAAACGCGATCAGTTGAAGCGCATGGTGAAGGATATGGGAAGTGCGCTGCGTCGGGACGCCTACGCGCTGACCGTGGTGCGCCTCGCCATTCACGAGTACAAAACCGGCGGCGTCGAGAATGGCCGCGCGTTGTTTGAGGGTCTGGTTGTGCGAATGCCGAAGAAGTCGGATGTGTGGTCGGCGTACTTGGATCAGGAAATGGCGCTGCTTGTGCGCCGCGACGCATCCGCCGCCGCGTCCATCGTGCGAGCGCTGCTGGAGCGTGCGGTTGCCACGAACTTCTCCGCAAAGGTGATGCAGCAGTTCCTCACACGCTTCATGTCATTTGAGCGGAACTACGGCTCACCCGCGGACGTGGAAAAGGTGAAGGCCCGCGCGCGAAGCTACGTGGAGGCAAAAATCCATGCGTCGGTAGGAGAAGGAGGGAGTGGCGGCGGCGGCGGTGTCCCCGCCACCGCCCACGCGGGTAGAAACCATAAGAGTAATAATACTAACAAGGGCAATAATGCCGACACGGAGGCTGCCGTCGAAAATGACGAGACGGGTGAGTAGTGAGCAGCGCTGGCATGAGAGGGTCCGGGGCGGCAAGGGGGCAAATAGCTGAGGGTCGAGCCCGGCCTCCCTCCTTGCATGTCTCCGTGTGTGGGTGTGGGTGTGGCTACCTCCCGGCTTTCTCTTGTCACAAACACAGCGAGTAATGGCGCAGGAAAAGGGGGAAACAGAAGAATAATATTGGATTCTTGTGTGTGCTTGTGGGCGTTTTTTTTTTGTTTTAAGGGAGCAACGTGGAGGCGGATGTCTGCAGAGGGAAGCACTCAGCGAGGAGGTGGTTAGCGTCTATGCAAGAGGAGAGTGGGGTTTCGGCAAAAGTAAGCGGAGCGAAGGCGGGAGAGAGGCATATGAAGGCTCCCTCCAGCTCCCCTCTTTTCGCATGCACACAGACGCGACGTTCATATCCCTCCGTACAGTTTTTGATGACGGACACGATGCCACGAGGAGGAAGAACAATGATGTTCAAATATTCCTGCTTTTTTGTTGTTGTTGTTTTTTGTTTTTCCCTTTTATTCTCCGCTTACGTCTCTGTGCGTGTAAAGGCGTGGCGGAGTTCGTCGTGTCCGTCCTCAGCTGCGCCGCGAATGTCTTTTACTTCGCTCTGCACGTTCTCTCTCTCTCTCTCTCTCTCTCTCCATCTGTGTGTGAGAGCTGACGGCAAAAGGGAGGAGGAGCAGCCGCGTTGGCAGTGTTTGGAAGGGGCAGAAGGGAGAGAGGAGGCAGCGGTGTAGGCGAGAGGGGTCCAGCAGGGGGGTGGGGGGGGAAGTTTTAACAAGAAAAAAAAAGGAGGGGAAGACGCGCGCGAGCGGGGAGGGGGAGAGGGAGACGGATCCGCTTGGGACGCCACTAGCTGAAGCAACAACTTGGAACAACGGGGGACGGACGGCGTCCACGGCGCGGAGCGATGTCGGAGCACTTTGATTCTGTCCGGTCAATGATCAACAACCTCCGCTCGGAGGACCCGGAGGAGCGGCTGACGAGCATGCGCGGCATTCACCTCATCGCCTCCACCCTGGGGCCGGGGCGCACGCGGGACGAGCTCCTGCCGTACCTCACGGACTACCTGGACGAGAACGACGAGGTGCTGCGGGTGTTTGCCAACGCCCTCGGGACGATGCTGCAGGAGGTGGGAGGCGTAGACCACGTGCAGAGCGTCCTCTCGCCCCTTGAGGTGCTGAGCAGCCTAGATGAAATCACCGTGCGGGACGAGGCGGTGACGTCGCTGCAGACGATTGGTGAGCAGATTTTTCGAGAGCCCGGCGAGGTGGGAGCACAGGCGCAGCGCGACTTTGTCAACCTGGTGCATCGGCTTGGCAAGGCAACCCCGCAGTGTCGCTCAAGCGCCTCCTACCTTATCGCCACGGCGTATCCCCATCTCACTCCGGCCGTTAAAGGGCAACTCATGGCCCTGTTTGTCGCCCTCTGCGATGACGAGGAAATTATGGTGCGTCGCGCGGCATGTATTTCGCTAGGAAAGCACATGGTGCGTGTTCTTGGAAGTCGAAGTACAGAGCTGATTAACGCCTTCTCTGCGCTCGCATGCGACCCGAGCGACGGCGTCCGTCTTCAGGCGGTGGAGGCCGCCGCTGCACTGCTCAAGGCCTTGCCGTACGACGCGCACGCGGGCGTTCTTTCCTCGGTAAAGTCACTGGTGATGGATGCGTCATGGCGTGTGCGGTACATGGCGGCAGACCGGCTTGGTAAACTTGCCGAGGCCATGTCCCCGGCGGATGTGCGGAGTATTGTGCCATTTTTTTCTTCCCTTGCGCAGGACACTGAGGCGGAGATTCGGGCCTCTGCGGTTTTTAGTATGGCTAGTGTCTTCGCCGTTTGCCGCGACCCGTCTGCAAAGCGGGAGCTCTTGACAGCCGGATGTCGGCTTGTGAATGACGACAATGCCCATGTGCGGATGTGCCTGGCGAGTGCGGTGTTGCAGTCGGTGGGAAACGTTGCAAAAGAGCTGTGGGCCACCACAATTGTGCCGACCTGCACCCAACTGTTAAAAGACCAGGATGCGGATGTGCGGTTAGCGCTGGTGTCTGGATTTAGCTCGATGGGAAACACACCGGAGGCGCGGGAACTGGCCCCCAAACTCGTGCCGGTTGTCGTGGCCCTGGCGAAGGACCCAAAGTGGCGGATTCGCGAGGTCGTGATATCGCAGGTCCCGTTCCTCATCACGTCGCTGGGCAGAAACGCCAACGACGTGGTGGACATTTGCGTGCAGCACCTCGTGGACCGTGTCGCGACGATTCGCGACGCGGCGGTGCGCTCCTGCTGTACGCTGGTGACGGAGAATGGGACGGCCTGGTCGCGGGCCTCGCTCTTCCCGCGGCTTAGCGCGATGACCTCCGCGACGAACTACCTCCACCGCGTCGCACTCGCCCACTTTTACGCATCGCTAGCGGGGGCCCCGGGCCTCGACAACGGCACCGTCTCACAGCACATCCTCCCCACGCTGCGCCTCCTCGCGCAGGACCCGGTTCCGAACGTGCGCCTGAACTCTGCCAAGGCGCTCCTGGCGTTGAAACGGGGCGGGCATCCGCTGGATAGTGAACACGAGTCCCTGTTAAATCGGTTGCGAAAAGACACCGATGTCGATGTGCGTTTTGCCGCATCTGGAGACGGCATCGTTTGAAGCTAGATAGAGTCATGAGAGAGTGAAAGAGAGGGAGAAGGAGTGGATGCGCGTGGTTGGGTGGAGAGCAGGTTGCCCGGTTTGCTTAGAAGGTGGGAATGAGCAGAGCAAGCGGGAAGCAATTGGGGTCTCACTTTGCATTTTAGAAGCACACTCACCTCGTGTCTTTTGTACCTTTCACTCCTTTTTTTTTTCCTTATCTTCGTACGGCTGGAGGCGTGAACTTACCTTTGTTTATGTTATTTTGTGCGTGGTTGTGGGACTTGGCTTTCGAGATGCGACCGCGTAAGTGCCCTGTTGGTTTCCGTCCTTTTTGTTTTGTTTTTTCGTGAGGGGTTGTTGTTGTTTTTTTTGTTGTGTGTGTGTGTGCCCCCAAGCTAGAAAGCCTTGCACGGCCGGGGGATGCCGTCAGAAGAGGCATAATTGCCGGCTGCCGAAAATGAGGGCGTAGATACAAGCCATGTCTGTGCCTGTGCGGCTTCGCCTGCGGGGTGTTGGCCTCTCCAGCAGGGCAGCCGCTGGAGGCGGCGCGAGACGTGATGCTGCCCCCGCGCTTCGCCACGCCGTTCACCGGTGGTGGCGTGTTTGGTATTTTGGCTCCGCCCCTCCGCTGAGCAAACTGCCGCCGCAGTTGTTCTTGGCGGCCGCGGTCAACAGCAACTCCGCGTCTTCCTCTGTGTAGTTGTTTATTTGCCTGTTGCTCTCGGTGGCTGCTTCGTAGCGTGCGCTGCTGCCCCGTGTGGCGGTGCGTCGCACGGGGCCTGCGAATAGGCAATTCACTCCATCTGCGCCGTTTCCGTCCCTTTTCTTTTTCTGTTTGTTTGTTTGTTTGTTTTTTACTTTTCCCTCTTGTTGTTGTTGTTGTTGCGTGAGCCCCGTTCGTGGCTCTCCCGCTGCGTCTGCGCGTGTGCGCCACCTCTCCCTCCCTCTCTCTCTCCCTTCTGCGGTGTGTCTCTCCGTCTCCCGCCGGGCGGGGCGGAGGGGGGGCGGCGGCGGCAGCAGCAGGGAAACGAAAAACAAAACAAAACAAAACAAAAAAGTGGGTTGACCGCCTCATGCTGCGCTGGTCGCTGCGTGCGCTGAATCGCCCGAAGGGGCCGCAGGGGCTGCGGCCGGGCAGGGAGTACCGCCTCACAGTGCCGTACCGCAGCGAGGTGACGATGCTGCGCTGCGCCAACCACCGCGCCTTCAACGCCAACATCCGCGAGTTGTTTAAGAAGCCGCTGGTGCAGAACAACATCAAGGCCATCCCCCGCGACTTGGGCGAGATTCCGCGCAACTACGTCCTGAAGCTGCTCTTCTTCCACCAGCCCATCCGGCTTGTGGATTTGTGGTCGGTGTGCAAGGAGCACGACGACGTCCCCCTGGACTCCGCGAAGCACCTTCGCCTGGTGCTGAAGATCGCAAAGCTGCAGCGGTGGGTGTATGCGGAGAAGAACCAGACGAACAACCTCTTCTACTACTACATTCATCAGAGCCGCGTGCGGGAGGTGCAGGAGATGGTGCGGGCCGACGAAGTACGCAAGAAGGAGGAGGAGTCTCTACAGGCGGTGGAGGCGGAAAACCTGCGGCGCGAGGAAAATGAGCGGCGACGGACGGCATTAGACGAAAAAATTTTGGTGCTGCAGAATCTTCTCGTCTCCAACGTGGCGCAGATTCAGCAGTTTGACCCCGCCTTCGTGCAGGCAAAGCCATACGTGACGGAGGCTGGCGCGGTGAACGTGGCGTGGGGGTGGCACGGCAGCGAGGACAACAGTAGCAGCGGCGTGAAGGGCGTGTAGGCACGGGGCGGTGCCCGTCTCTGGGAGGGAAGGGGGTGGCGCGCGTGGAGGAGAGGGGCGGTTGCCCCGTGCGTCTGTGGGCGCGTTGTTCGTTGAACGCGTGACGCGGCCGGCGGGGATGGCCTCCACCGGGTGTTTCTCTTTTTTCCTCACGCGCTGAGTGGCCTCCGCTGCACAAACTCCAAGAGCTCCCATACGACCCCCTCCTCCTCTTCCTGCTCCATATATATATATATACATACACCTCTCTCTCTCTCTCTCTCTCTCTCTC